ATTCCTGCTCACCCACGCTTTCCTAGTGTGTGCCACAGACAAGTTTAAGATGCACAAGAAATACAGCCTAGAATCACTGTGAAGTCTTCAAAGCCATTCCCTGACAAATTTATGAAAGGAACTTAATGTACGTGAAAATTTGGCTTTTAGTAGTTCATTTGAAATTTTTTACTTTATCCTCTGCTGATGTCAGGTACTATGATGTCACAACAGCTGCTGGTGGTAATGATTGATACCATACAGAAAAAGCCGTGTTCTGAAGCAGAGGTTAAGCAGTAGGAAAGAAAAACAAATTTTCTTTTTATGCAAATAATCGGAGTATAGTGTGCTGATATAATTTCTGCCTAGGTCTTGACTCACATGCTAGTATATTGCTTTCATTCTAACATTACACACATAATAGCAATCAAAACACATTTTTCTACTTTAGTTGTAGATTGACTATAGTATTACAGAATTATTTATACATAAACACACACAGCAAGCTACATGTGGTATCTGTATTGTGTGAAGTCTATATTATTATGGGCTTCCACTATAAAAATTGGTTTTGATAACAAAAAATGAGTACACAAAATGTTATGCAGAAGCCAAGCTGTTTAGAAATACAATTGCTCAAGCTTTTAAATAAAGCGCAACAGCTCTTTAGTAGCTCTTTAGTCCAGAAGCCATCCCACCCTGAAGTTATATTTACCAAGCTGGCTTCAGCAGCCAGTTATTTCACTTTGTTTTGGCTATGCAAGGAAAGAAGTGCTCCAAACATACAAACCAGTATTTTTTATGCTTTTCGTATGATGTTTATAGAAATTTTACTAGTTAATAAAAATTACAAAGAATAATAGATTAAATCATATTTTAATACTCAAAGTTTAATTAAGAATTTTATTTCAAAACGTTTTGTGAATTATACAGATGAGAGCTCTATGCAACAACTTTTCTAGGAAGCTACATACTTATATTAGTTAAATATTTCCTTCTGAATAGTTGGCGGTGTCAATTTCTTCTGACAATTTAGGCGGGCGGGTCTTGGAGATGTAGGGATAGAGAAAAAGAAAAAGAGGAGAGAGGCAATATCTGAAAAACAGTCCTTACTCATTTGCAATGTAGATAACTTTGTGCTTCTCAATTACTTCTATGTCATGCTCCAGTTGTTTCATCTGTGATTCCAGCTTTTCTTTATATATCTTCTTGGGTATGGTGTCTATTTCTACTGAAAGACCCTGAAATTCACGATACACTTCCTCCCAGTTCTTTTTCAGCCCCTAGTGCCATTACATGAAAAGGAAATATAAGAGAAAAACTTACTTCATTAAGAATAATAGGCGTATAAACTACTTAGGGTTTTTTGTTAATATGGCATTTGATAAGTGTCACTGCAATGTCAAAATAATAGATAAATATATGGATAATGTTTAATGATCTTAATTGGACCAAATTAATTAAATGCTTAAAAGTCACAGTAGTTGCAACAGAAAAAATTTTGACTCATTCTGATGCAATATAAGGAATAGTCCTTAAAAAACTCTGTGCCTTGGAGAGAAAAAATTACAGTCTTTAAGAGGCAACAAAACAATAATTATACTACCCAATGAAGGACGAGCTACAAAAATGCTAAACTGAAAAAAATTATGTCAATCTGAGTAACAGTCAACAATTGTTCTTACTTTCTCTCCTCAAGAGGATAATCAAAATCTACACATCCTATACGTGCATACATACATATATGAGGATTTCGTAGAGTTTATTCAGTGCATCAAATGTCCTCATGAAAACTACATGGGTGAACTTAATAATCACACCTACTACAAGGAACTTGTAATCAGTAAATAATACAATACAGCTCTCAGTGAGAAAACACTTTTCCAAAATGTTTTTGGCTGTCAGTTCTTTTTTCTTAGAGGAGATCACAAAGTATCTTCAAAAATGAAGAACTGAAGTTACTTTCTTGGGAACTAAAGTTTTCAACTCTCCTCCGTAACTGAAACCGAATTCAGCTGACATGCTTATTTTATGGCACGCTGTGATTTCCAGCCTCATCCTCTCCACCTCTGCCTTCTTCTCCAGTATTGTTAAGCACCTTTTCTCCCAGATTGGCTAATTGATTAACATACTGAAGTTAAATTTAGATGAATTGTTCTTAATACATATTTAGCTTTGAAGATTGTTGCTTCTATTTCAGAACTCAAGGACTCTTGTGCTTGATGATTTTGTCCACTGTATGAATTGATTTAACAGAAAAAAATGACCTCTCCCTGCCAAAACTGACTAAGAAAAACATACTTTTTAATATGAACTAATATTTTACTGATTCAAAGCAGTGTATTTATTGCATAGCAATTTGTGCTTTTTGCATATTCATATTAAGCATCTAAGTGTTGTCCATAAAGGTTATGCCAACAATCTTCATACACAAATACCTACATAAATTTAAGAATCCTACCTCAACATGTGAAACTAAGAGCAACAAGCCTTTTTATTTACTGTCTTGTAATGTTACTTGTCTTTGCAGTCCAATGCTGTGAAGTACTTAAATAAAGCTCCTAGTCTACCAGGCATAGGGTATAGTTTACAAATATAGAGTCATGAAAATAAATACAGTATTTCCAAAACTTTCATAGAATAGTCATTCATAGCTTCTTTTACATAATTCTTCTTTGAGTACATTAGTAAAAACTGGTTTGGAAACAGTGAGCTTTAGAGCGTGCACTCATCACAATTTACTCCATCCCTACAGAGTCGAGAGATCAAAAGCAGATCATGACTCCCTACATAAAAATCTCCCTCACAGCTCCTCCAACAGCGATGTAATATGCTGACCACTATTGCTATGTGCTAGATCACAAACTGAGTATCTAACGCTATATAAGGAATTCTAATACATGCTGGATCAGTGAGAAATATGTGCTGCATTTATCAACATACTCTCTTAATTCTCATAAAATCCCAACCAAAGTAAGCATAATGGAGAGAGAGTTCAAAAAATGTTGGCACAAATTATTTCCCTTTATTTTTGTAAGTTCATGAGGCTTAATTTTGTTCTCAGACATCTATTGCCACATATTCTTTCAAATTAGATAGTGCACATGTGTTCACTAGCAATTTCAATTATTTTAAAAGGCAGGAATTCACATATGTCTACAGCTGAGCACTGGGCAGAAGCCACATACCCTGGGGACACTAATTCCTCCTGACAATATAACTGTATAAGTAATCTGGCCCATGAAAGAGCAAACTTTTTTTAAAAATTTAAAAGAAAATACTGAGTTAATAAAAACAATCTAAAAACTTTTCAATTAAAATATTTAAGTGCATTCTTGTATTTTAAAAATATAGAACATAATTTTAATCAAACTAAATGCAGAACTGTGAGCAGCTGAACTCACATGCCTTTTTGCACATATATTTTTGCTGCATAGTTAACTTGCTGGACCACCAGCTTGTCCCATGCCTTTCCCACCATAAAAATATCTTAATCTTCACCCTTGCTGTTATGTTCTTTATATTGCTGTCAATGCAATACCCTCACCTCTCTCCCATACTCCTGCCTAGCTTCTACTGCTTGCTGCATAAGCAAGAGACACCATTGTGCTAGCTATTTTGGATCTTGCTGATTAACCAGTTAATCTTTGCAAGTGAGTTAGACACTGTGTTTTCTCTCTAGATATTCTGCTGGCTTTTTTGTGGGAATTTAGCATCTTGGAGATGTCCATCCATCTGCTAATTTGTTTCAGGTGGCTGCTAAGATCAAGTTGTTAAGGGACAGACTGATAAACAGATACCACAGTGAAGTAAGCCTCATTTTCACAGGAAATTTGGATAAAATGTGGTCATCAGAAATTCCAGTTGAAGGATTGGATATACTTTTAAAATGTCCCTTTTCCGCTCTACTTCTTTTATGGTATTACTTTTCTTTAGAAAATCTTGCGCAATAAAAACTGTATGAAAGACAGTATCCAAAGCAGCTTGACAAAATACAATTTTTCCAGTCATACTTCTACGAATATATTGCGATTTAATTCTGTTTTCTGTTTTTGCCACATTTTAAAGCATGACCTTATTGTTTAGTCAGTGAGGTCACAATGTGAAGATAGAAATTGCCAATAAAAGCGGCAATGTTATGTATCAGGAAAAAAACCCCTGTATTTTTCCATGATTGACAAGTGAGAGTCAGAACTGTCACTAAATCCATATAGGTAATTTTCTGCATTCCTTTGAAGTTTCACTGAAATTCCAAGTCATTAATGGGGATAGGAATCTAACAGAATTGAAGTACTTGTAAAACTGGACTAAAACTGTAGCTAAATCAGCTTCCTTCAGTTCAGTTTACAACTGTTCTACAGCTCCATCTAGTGAAAAAGTAGCTAACTCATTTGCCTCGCTTAAAAAATCTAGTATACTTTTATTATTTATATGGACTTACATTACCTTGTTAATCTTTTATACACGTTACTAATTACACTAAATCAAAATATGCACCTGGAGAAGACTTCTCCTTTCCTCATCAGATAGCTGTTTCATGGCTCTTTTCTTGAGATGCTCCAAGATACCAGCCTCATATTCTTCCTGAGCTCTCTTCATTTCTTCAATTCTCCGTGTTACATATTTCGGTGTAACACCATAATCCTATAAGGGTAAGGAAGAAGTTTCTTATATCTGCTTTTAAATAGGAAACAAAGACGTACCTGTCATCCATAGTATATTACATTTGCAAAGGCAGCTTGAAATGGAATTTTGTGCCACCAAGCAATAAAATCCTAAATCATAGTGTTCTTAGAAGTATCAAACGTGATTGTCTTTGTAGCCTAGGCAAAACGTATAAACAATTCCCTTCAATTTCTTTTTGCAACCTTGGAAGACAACAGAATCCAGAAACCAAAATGTCTATTTATAAGAACTGATGGTTGAGTGAGGAGTTTGAAACCTGTTAATGACAGCAAGCTACTTTACATTTTTATATGGTGTCATATTCTAGGTTCTGAAACACATTCCTCAGATACTTTCTTTGAAAGGTCTTCCTGTATCCTGATTTTTGCTGAACATTGCATGCCACAGAAGAGAGTGAATAGTGTTAATGCATACACAAAAATTGGACTAGTTAGGAATGATAAACTATCCCATACTGGATGTGGCAGAATTGTGTTTCTGGGAGGAAAAATAATTTCTTAATATCCCAGATGTGCTAGGGGGAACACATCTACTTTGCCTTATCCTTTGTAAAATGAAGCCTGTCTAGCTCTGCCAGAAAGTACCAGAGTCTACCTTCTTTCTACCAAATGCTAAATGATTCACAGATCTTTTAGTGTTGGGTAGCACTATGACTAGCATTGTTTAGATAGGTGTTTAGCCATGCAAAAGTACTACAAGGGCTGCAGGTTCACTTTGCATTTTCTCTGTCATGAGTTATGTCATATGTGTCTCTTTGCATAATGCTCTGTCATGAGTTACCTGTTTAGCTAAGCCAGACTCCTGATACATCTTGTTTTCCTGAGGAGTGGAATGGGCTGTTCTTGTGCTTGGAGGAGGTTGTCCTTAAAGGCATGCCAGCTCTCTCAAGCTCCTTTGCTTTTCAGAGCTGTCTCCCACGGGGTGCTACCTACTAGTTCCCTGAATAAGCTGATGTTTGCTCTCCTGAAGTACAAGGTCTGTACACTGCCACCTGCATCCCTGAGGAGGAGGGGATCTTAAACTACTTCACGGCCTGTGCAACCAGGACTACTATCGATTATCACACCCCTGACCAGTTCTTTCTCATTTGTAAGTAGCAGAACCAGAAGAGCATGACCACTGGTTGGCTCATCCACCATCTGTGTTAAGAAGCTGTTGCTGACATGCTCCAGGAACCTTTTTGGATTGCTTTCATCCCATTGTGTTGTCCTTTCAGCAGATATCAAGGAAGGTGAAGTCTTCTGCAAGAAGCTACACTGTGATCTGAAGATTTCCTCAAGTTGCTTAAAGAGATTTCATTCCGTTCCTCACCTGATTGGATAGTCCATAACAAACATGCCTTTGACTCTTACTGGCCTTTCCTCTGATCCTGACCCAGAAGCTCAACCTGCCTGTTGCCAATTCCATAGAAAAGCTCCATATATTTAAACAAGCTCCTTCATCCTAGGGGCAACCCCTCCTCTTCTTCCCTGCCTCTCTTTCCTAAAGCGCTAGCATTCATTCTTCACAGAACTCCATTTATGTCCCCATGAGATACTCCCTGGGCTCCCAGTGCAAAACATACGCTATTGCTTCAGCAGCATCATTCTGCCAATTTTTTCTGACAGCATAAGCGAGTTAATACAGAGCAAGGCACAACTCTAGTGCCAGTAATTTCTCCCTGATGAATTTCAAAGGTCCACCACAAACAGCAGTGGTATCTAAACATCTCAAAAAGAATCACAAACATTTCACAGGAGAATGCAATAGAGAACCTGAAATAGGCATTGCTACTAGTATTTCCACTATAATTTAATAAAACTTACCTTTTTTTTAATATATTTTGGAACAAGTCCTGAAGTTTCAAGCAGATATTTATCTCCCTGTCTTCTATCAACATAAATAGGTTGAGGCTTTTTAGGCAATCCTGTGATAGCAGCAACTGCATTTGTATTTATGAAATTCTTTTTACTCTGAATTCCCACAACTGGGTGATCTGTCCTCCGTGGCACTGATAATGCAGGCAATTTTTTACTATCCTGTTCTTTTTTTCCTGTGAATTGAGCATGTAAACATTCTCAGCAATAACCATGAAGAGCTTTGCAATTTAATGTTACTACATTTTTCAAAAGGGAAAAATTACATACAAAATTACATAAAAATAGGAACCAACTGTATCTACAATGAAAGAATTGACTGGGAACGTACTATGATGAAAACGAGTATGCTTGTTTGGCATAACAGAAGTTTCATAACCTAGGAAATACTACGCTGTTTTAGATGGGTTTCCTTATAATATGCCACTCGCTTCCTCTTAACTGCAGTAGTACGGGATTTCTTTCAAATGTAATTAAAACTACTTTTACTAGAGATGCTCATTGTCAGGGCCTTTAGGCATTAATGGCCCTGCCCAGTGTCACCTGGGGCATCCACCCCACACCCTTGGGCTCAGGAACCCCATTTCAGCTCAGCTCTGGGCTGTCAGTGCCTGGCTGAGCTGTCTCAGCCGTGTCTGCCCCCAGTCCTCTTCCTGAAGAGCTGTGTGGAATCAGGGGATGGACTTGGCCCACTACCCTGTCTTTCCTGATGGTCACTAGGCCATTGATAGGACACATTTTCATCACCACCTGCTCTGCTTGCCTGCCTCTGGTGTGGTGGGACTGCACCCTGTTGGTGAGGTCATTGCCCAGCCTGCGTTGTGGTTGCCCTCAGTTTCTGCCTCACCTCCCCTTAGGGAAAAGCCCTGCTCTTGCTGCTCCCTAAACAACTCGTAAACAACTTCTCACAATCCTTTCTCCAGAGAATATAGAAACTCTTCCTTTTTAGTGTCATCTTTTCTCCAAGGCACCAACAGAAAGCCAGTAGTCTCCTGAATAGTCTGACTTCAGGTGAGTGATGAAAGACAATTCATTTCCCACCATATTTCCCACTAGATATAACTCTAACTCACAGTCATTATCAGAGATAATGACTTGATTCAGGTTGTCTGAGTTCATGTTCTTCTTTGGCAGAAAATAACTGTAATGTCACATGTGACCGAGCTCATTCCTACAACAGCTTGTTTCCTGATACTGACCCCATGAACCAGTGCTTTCCTGGGTTTTGTTTTTACAACCTGATAGCTTGCCATAACTTAGTACCGTAGGACATGCAGACTTAAATCTCTCTTTCTCTTAGCATGTCCTTTTGGAAACAAGATCTCTGAAGCTTCTCAGTGAGCACTGGCTCACCCTTATCTGCAGTACACTGGTGCACACTTGCTGCTTTGGGAGCCCCCGCTTTTTCTGGAGCCAGCAACCGAGCTTGGTTAAAATGAATGCCAGAGTCCAGTAATACAAGATTCAGCTGAAGGTTAAGAAACACACCTTCTGTAAGGAAGTGGGAGTAATCAGACTCTAAAAGTATGACACTATCCCAGACTTCAGGGAGAAAAATTTAATCTTTCTGTTCTGTCCTTGCAATCTATTTTTTAACTAGTTAGATCAAACCCAGTCTTGAAGGCGGCACAGATACCATGAAGACAATGCCGTAATTCCATTTAGACAACTGATAACTGGTTAAATTCCAAGTGATGAAAGTGCCATGCTTTGAAACAGATGATTAAGCGACATAACTTCTCTGAGGTAGGTATGAAATTCCATCCAGCAAAGGTACAAGAACTTTCTGAGTTAATGATACAGTTCCTTCTCAAGATCTGTTAGGATCTAATCATGGCAATGAAATTACTAGTCTGGATCAAAGCTATGATGCGTCATAGTCATTTTGAGGCTCTGGTACATTGACTCCAAATGCAAACACCCAAGGACATACTGCTATCATGAAGCCCTGAATCAACAAGTTGAAATAGAAATATTGTGAGCTGCTTGTCTGAGAAAAATTGGTCAGAGTGCTGTATCTTAATATATAACTAGATATATATAGATGAACTAGATAACATTAATTTTATAATACAAGGACTTAAAAGGGATCTTACGGACTGCTCCAAATTATTGGTGAATCAACCTTCTTTCCTAGGCCCATCTAAAACACTAGTGTGGTAATTTAACAAGGTCTTGAGCTTGGAAGCATTCATGCTCAGATGTCATGCAGTATTACATTCCAGTATACTGAACGCTGTTCGGATTTCCTGAAAAAGTGAATACTTTATTCAAAAACGACCCAGGATGCCTACAGGACCTCTGGGACCAAAGCTTACCTTAAGGTTCTAATAATCCATATTGCCTGAGGCGTTAAGCCTCCGAAGCCTCCTGGGACTGCCTGTATTTTCAACACTAAAGCCATTTGCATGTGCCACGCAAATTTGGGTGCTGGACTCCTACATTCTCTTAGACAGCTTTTTTTTTTTTTGTACTGTACGTTAAGCTTTTCTATTTTTCCAGGCTAAAAACAATTTCAAGCTGAAACTTTAGAACTCAATTACAAATTCTGACAGCAATGTACTTAGAACTCCAGCAGCACTAAGAAGGTCACTCCACCCTTGCAGAACCAGCCATGAGGCTGAACATTAGAACTGTCAGCTCCTTATACCCAGAATTATGGTTTGTGCCCAAAGACAGAATGCATTTTGCAACAAAATATTCCTATTTTCTTATTTCTGTGACACGCAGCTCTCAAAAAAATTCTGTGCTTTGAACACTGCCAGCCAATTTAATGCTACAGGAGTAAGAGCTGACGATGAGTGCTGACGAGTAAAAGCCGTATGTTGGTTATAGCATCAAGAAAGGCACACATACTTTTCCCATATCTCTTCAAGCATTGAAAACAATTAGTTCACTTTTAATACCCCCATTCATATTATTTACTTTAATATTAATGACCAGTTGCAGAAAAGAATGACGTACAAATCTAAACTACATAATTACAAATTGAAATATCAGCAGGATAGAACATATCATCAACACATCTTCAACATCTGAATAGCTGAAGCCAAAAGACATATAATTTTTCTTTCTATTTCAGCTGGTTTTGCAGCACATGACAGTAAATGCTTACTGTATTTTCTAATCACATACATAATTTCCTTGTTGCTTGTTTCAGTATTTTACACAATAAATAAGAAACATTTTTGTAAAATAGAGAAATAATTTTGGTATCATAGATACTATAAAAGGAACAATGGAAACTGCACCAGCACACAAAAATTATTTTAAATTAAAAAAAAAAGATTCTCCATAACTAACTGTTACTTTCAACATTAATATTATCAATTTTAAAATTAAAAAAATACATTACATTTCATATATTTCATGTCTACACTTACTTGCTGGTAGCTTGGGTTCCTTTGAATGTTTCTGCAGAAAGTTTTTTGGAGATGGCACTGCAACTTTTGCTGGTCCCATAGTTTTCCACTGAGCTTTATTTTTTGCTACTTCACATTTCACAGATGGTCTAAATGTGGATATATACCTTAGACATTAAATAATAGCCATAAAAAGTTAAAGGTCAGAAAATTATTAAAAATACTTCTTCAAAGAATATACATTTTTGCAGTAGTTCATGCCAACAGCCTAAGCTATTTTGTTTTGTACTCTCTCCCAAATAAAGGCCATCATTCATACAACCTCCATACAAAGGCTAAGGCCAGCACTGCACTGACAAGTTGTACTTCTGATTCTGAAGTTAGCTTGCTTCTTCCTTCTTCTCTTGTGTCTCCAAGGTCAGTATTATCACACTTTGGAAAACGGTTCCTGTATGCTCTGTTCATATAAATACTGAAAACAGGTATTTTGAAACTCAACAAAACCTAAATTTTGGAAATAAACTGCTTTGAGCATTGCTTACTAAAAGTCTGACAGAAATGTGAATTTATTATTTTCATGAGGTTATGCATTGCACACTTTGGTCTTTATTTTTTAATTAACTCATTTTGAAAAGTTCTTTTTTTAGGGCTATTTCTTTTGTTCCAAAATGCATCCAAAATATGCAGCTGTTGTGCATGTACAGGAAAACAGTAATCATGAACCTGCTTTGCTGGATTTTCTGTATTTGAAAATCTGTAGCATGGGGAAGATGCAAATGCCAATGTATCTTGGCTGTTTCGGAAGCTGCAGTTGCAGTACATTGTAGGGCCTTACATAACATAGCAATCAAACATATCTAAGGAGAAGCTCAGTTGGCTTCAAAAAAGATGAGACCTGTATTGATGAGAACATTTGCTGCTTCATTCTATGGGATGAAACATATTTTAGAGGTATTGAAAACCTCATGCTTCAGAAAACACGTCAAATGTAGTCGAGAGTTGGACAGAATGTTCTCGATCATCAGTTTATCTTATTACTGTCCATTGTATCGTCTCAATGTTCCTGTTGAACCATCTGTTACAGACTATTATAAGAGATTAGATGAGATGGATGACTGCTCTGAAATAGCACAGCAAACTGTGTATTTCTTGGATTACACAGATCCAAACTATGATCCTGAACTGTCGTAATCAGTGGTGGTTTTGGCACTAACTGAAACAACTAATGTGAAAACCAGTAAGGGCTCAGATATGAAAAGCTGTATGCACACGGTATGCACACACTGCTGTTTTGGTGTAATGTTGCATATGGCACTGTAACTTCTGCTTTAATCGAAAGTATGCAAACATGTTCTCCAATCATTAGCTGATTTGCAGCATCTTGCCTCTATCTGAAGGACTGAGCTGTCACAGATGTTTTCCTGAAGGAGCAGAACTCCCTGCTCCTGAAGCTCAGGCTACCTCATTGTACCTTTTAAAAGCTGACCATCTTTAGGAAGCATGTCATATTAATTTATGGTGGACAAAAGCTGACACACAGTTGCGCTTTTCTTTCACAAAAAAAATGTGTTTATGAAAAAAGTATACCATGTTTTCAGGTAACGAAAAAAAAAGAACAAAAAGATTACACATAATGCAACCTATTTTACAGAAATACTGAAATAGGATGAAAGAAACGATTTAGTGCTGCGGCAGTGAATGGGGGTCATAGTAGCCACACTGATAAAAGCTTTTGTATATGAGCTGCCAATGTCTGATACATGTATTTGTACTTGATCATAACATTAGAAAATGTAAGAGGACTTTATTAGAAATGTGGAGTTATTTTGTCTTCCGGAGATTTGGTTTCCAAAATCAAAAAGACGATTATGTACATAAGATATTCCAGAAATACCTCTAATTATAAGGAATGAGGTTTTATTTATTTTTTCTGTTAAATTCATGGCAAACAGCCATCAACGTTGGCACAAACCCACCACATTCATAAATTACTGCATTCCTCACCATTTGCTAGGAGTGGCATTGCAGCCACACAGTAGAGAAAGGTAGTGACTTTATGAGTCACTACTTTGACTGACTTTTGTCACTATTGTGACAAAATGTCACACTTTGACTTTTGTCACTATTTGTCGCTACTCACTACTAGTCACTTTTTGACCTAGCAGGGGTCACACAGTCTTGGAATGAGAAAGTGAAGGAGAAGGTATTGAGTTTATTACATATTGGTATAAGGTTTAGAGTTGTCTTAAAGATGTCCTTTGTAGACAGCTATAGGCATTCCTTTGGACAGACAGATGTGGCGGTTTTATTTTTTCAATGACTTTTCAGGCCAAGAAAGTGGCTAAATACTGTCATACGCCAATAACATAGTGTTAGAATGGGTTGCAAGGAAGAAAACATGGTTATGGGGAACTTGAGAATCTTAATCCATTCATTATTTGGCAAGGGGAGAAAAGACAATAAGTTTGTAAGAAGACAGTTACTATTCCTTAGGTGTCATCTTGGGACATCAAAGTTGGGGACAATGAGGATGCTTGCCTTGGTTTCATGAGTAGTACCTGGTCAGTTGAGAGTGAAATATATATGATGTCATTTGAAGAAAAGAGACCCTAGATTTTGTGTGCATTAGTTAAAACTGGTCAGGTCGTGCTATTAACCAGGTTCAACACTGTTGCTACCAGCTGGATATTTGGCACATTGTGAACCAAAGCGGGAAGTGGGGTGACAACAGAAGTCAATGACATCAGAAGGGGATTTATCAGATTGCATCCAACCTAAGAAATCCCTTGCCTAAACTGAAGCCGGCGGTCATGCAGTATCCAAGTCCCTGAATGGTATTAAGACAGGAATGGATGCAGCGTGCTGTGTGCCTTGCCGTACTGTCATTTCACTTTCCTCTGTCTGCCAAAAGTATCTTTCATTCACATTGGAAACAAAGAAAGATGTATTATCTATTTTGACATGGAAAAGGTTCAGAACTAGGAATCTCACAAGTCTGAACCTTTTTACCTGAAAAGGGATAACTATTTTTGTTCTAAGGAGCACCACTGATATTTCCGCTCATTTTAAAGCTATTGAGTTATGGCTTGAGTTAACCTTTCACTGAAAATGCTAACTGTAACAGTTTTCTTTCATATAAAATAATAGGGACCTGAAAAAAACCCTATATGTTTCCATAATTATCAAATAAGAACTTTACAAAAACTCTCAAAGAAATTAATACTAGGGGGGGCAAAAGGCATTTTTAATGTTTTTAAGGTAAGGGGTGAGAAAGAGAAGCAAAAGAAACAATGTCAGAAGACATACCTGACACATGAAAAGAATGGAAGTCTGGCACTGAGAAAAATTTTAAAAATCCCCAACTTTTCAGCTGCTCACTGAAAAATTGTTATAAGTGCGAATAACAAAGCTGTCATGTAACTCCTCTGCGTGGATTTGTCAATGAACAAGATGGCATTGCAGATACCAAACTGAATCATCAGCCATGGAGCAGGCTGTAAACCCTCAGATGTTAGTTAGTGACTCATTAGGAGGAGCAATAACTACGCAAAAACTAGATTTGGGGTTTTTTAATACCTGTTACCCGTAAGACGTATCGCCTTGCCAGAACCAGTCACCGTGTCTGCAAGTGGTGCTGTCACACCCACGTACCTGGGAGGTTTGACAGGCTTCTCCTCCAGGCGGGGCAGGAGGTTATAGATGCTCTCCTGGGCACACTGCGCCGCCATCCTCCGGCCGAGGGGCCCTGGCCGCGGGGGAGCGTCCACCTTGCTGAGGGGGCCTGGAGGCGGGGGAGCGCCCAACTCGCTGAGGGGCTCTGGGCGCGGG